AAAAGAAAACCACATTCTTCTTCTGAACTTACTCGACTATCCTAATCAAGATTGAATATTGTTTAAAAAAAAGTAATACAGAATAGATGGAAGCATTCATGGTTATGATGAATAGTTATAGGTATGATTGTAATTATGCAAACTTAACGGGTAAATACAATTTATATTACTTACCATGTCTTTTGATACAGGAGGAAATTGTTGACGAGACAGACGTATATGTTGATGTACATAAAAGGTGCTATAATTTGATAATTTCTCCTCCTTTTTTTCAGAAAGATTATTTATTTTATCCTTTAAAAAAAAAAAAGAAAACTTAAAAGTGAATTGCTTGGTGACAATTGTAGGATTCGAGTGGTTGCGGCAGCTGCAGCTTCATCGGTTGCCCGTGCACCCGCAAATCGTAGGATTACTGCTCAAAAGCCATCAACGGTGAGCTTCTTTATCTAATTTCTTATTAACCAGTCAAATTTTCACCTCGACTTAAAACTATCCGGTTACTTTTTGGGAAGTTAAATGGATTCTAAATCTAATGAGATAATTGATTACATATATACAATAAAATTGATTATCAGGTGGAAAAAATCGCATATTTTGTATCAGCAAATTCTACATTCTACTTGTGATCTCACCTTTTTTCGTTCATGTCTATTGGATCTTTTGTTAGGGTGTTCCAGGTAAAATCGGACAGGTCACGAAGACGATTCAAGACATTATATGACTAAATGACTAATGATATGTACAGTGATGATGAAGATGAATTTGTGGACTAATAAATCTATGTCTAGAATGAAGAAAAAAATGAGCTTTTTTGCTTTCCTTGAGAGATGCATAATGAGGTTTAGAATTATAGTGTGTTAAGTTTTCTAAGTGCATGGGTAAGTTCTATAAATATAGCTGTTCTTAAGTTTTACAATGTATTCAGATTATGTTTTTTAGTATATACAGTTAACAAGGTTGTGTAGTATGAAAATTTTGCAATACTAGATATTATTATGCACACATCTACAAAAATTAGATTTATTTAGATGCATTGTGTATATATATTTATGTTAAATGTCTTTTGTATTTGTTATTGGCAAAAATTTTGAAAGAATTTTTTTTCCCCTTCATTATTCAAATGAGCCCATAATGAGCTTTTTAATGTTTGAATGAAAACAATTGCATAAATATAATCATTAATGCTCTCACTCACGGCGCACACATTGGTAATGTTAATATTTTTAAAAATACTACATCATCAATGTGTGCATGCCACATAAGCGGTAGATATATTAACATGTGTTCACCGTAGGTAAGAGAGCATTATAATTACGGACGAGTTTTTCTTTTTTGTCTGTGGGTACGTTAGGTAAATGCATAGTTTTTAAACCCGGCCCGGTGATTGACCCGGGAAGGTCTCCGGGTCACCGGGTCACCGGTTCAACCGCCGGGTCACCGAGTCAATTGTTGAACCGGATAATTAATTATAAAATTTTTAAAATTATATATATATATATATAGTATTTTGTCATATAAATATACATAAAATAACAAAATTAAATGTTTTGTATGTAAAATTTGTATATTAAAGTGATAATAATATTTTTTTAATAATAAATATTTACCATATAAATATATATACATAGTTTTATTTTTAAAAAAATTAAAAAAAAAATAAAAAATTTAAAATATATGTAGGGACCAGGTCAACCGGGTTGACCCGGCCGTGTCAATGCCCCGGGTTGACCGGGTCAAGGCCGGGTTGACCGGGTTTTGACCGGGTTTGACCGGTTCATTTGTTATCCGGTCTAATTAGCACACCCGGACCGATTCTGGCTTCGGGTCGACCGGGTCCCGGGTCGACCCGCCGGGCCGGTCCGGGTTGAAAAACACTGACCTAATGATGCATTAGTTAATAGCTATTAAGTTAGTTAATTGGTAACTAATAAGATTTAGAGATGATAACTTTTACCAATTCTATACATATAAGAAAAAATGTGAGGCATTCTAAAATTGACACGTGACGTTTTTCGAATGACCATAATGGACACTCTTTACACTTGATTCCCTCTTTTCTTTGCACCAAATACAGTTGCATTCGAATTCATTTTATAACTTCTTATAAGAAGATCATGGAGGATGTCGCCGCTGACCCCTCAAAGAGCTTTATAATGTCGAGTTCTCGACCAAGTGATGATTTTATCCCGTTGTTTTTTTTTTTAATTCCATCTCAATCAATCATTTTTACTTGCAAATACATCTACTGGCCTTTTTTTTTTGTGTTCAAAGAAATTTTATTTTCTAGAAATTTTGTTTTATGAATAATTGGCTTAAAAGCGTTTTGCATTCTTGGTTGTTTTGTCTAGAAATGAAAAAACAAATATATTTTTGTGGCTTCCGCAGTTGTAAATTTGATGTATATGTAGTTTATAATTATTGTTTTGTATGTGAATTTCAAGAAAATGGCTTTAAGAAATAGAAGGAATTTTGGTAAAACGAACAAAGTCGAGGCACGTAAGATACGCTTTCCTTAAGACGAAATAGTCCCGTATATTACCCATGGTTCACGGCTAACGCCTCCAAGATACAACGACTGTTGATTTGTGTATAGTGGTAACTCAAATACACAAACCTTCGGCGAACAATACTTAAGTTTCGGAACTCTCAAGATAGGAAAGAACACAAAGAACACAAGATGAATATGAACTTTGTAAAAAAGATGCAAAGGTTGTGGAATTATTTGATATCATGAATGATTTCATGTTAGTGGGTATTTATAGATGTAAGGAGACACCTCTAAGAGGTTTAAGTGTCAAAAGACACCTTTTGGGACGTGCCCGAACAAGAACGGATGTATCTAGTGGCCAAAAAGATACCTTATGGTCACCAAGGGTTGCAACCCTTCGATTTCCGCAGCCAGTTGCGCGCCCGTGCGCCGCGGGCTCGTACGAGCTCATACGGACTCAGAATCGAGTTCCGTTTTTTCCTACTTGTCCCCAACGAGCCCCTCTACAATTCTAGCATACATAATGCATATTTATGGCTCGTTTCGTTTATCCAAACATTTATTAAAATATAATGTTTGTGAACCCTACAACCTTTTGAGTTGTTTAAACTCAATTAATTAAAATACAACACTTAGAATTAATTTCTCATTCACCTTAAAAAGGTTTTGAGACTTTTCTAAGTATTCTACTTACGAAAAATAGATTCGTTAAATCGATACAAAACCAATTTTTTCTTACAGTATATACTTAGTTGGAACATTACGTTTAAAGAATTTTTTTATATAAGCTCGAACTCTTTAAAAAATCTCTATCTTACCAAATTTAACTTTGTTTGAATAGAATAACATACACTTTAATTTATGGTACTTTATCAAACGCATTCTGTGTTTTCAGCAAGAGTTCCAGAAAATAGATTCTAATAAAATAGCATTCAATAAAATATTTCAGTCAAGCTTCAGGATATTCAACACTGTTAATTTACAAAAGTGCCCACTTAGGCCTCCCTTTAGCTCACTACTATATACAGATGAAGATGACATAATCTCACCCCTTTAAAAGTTAAAATCCCAAAAAAAATAAAAAAAAAAGGGGTAACAAGAACAAAACAAACTACAACACCTAAGTATGATTTTTTTTTTGTATGTCTAAAAACTACAATCTTGTAATAACAAACCATGTTGTAAGAGAATTATCAGTCTTGCCAGCACAAGAGCAACACGGTGCATCGCCATATTATGTAGAATCGAGCTTTTTGTTCTCGTATTTGCTTAGAACAACGTTGGATCGACCTTTGTTTTAGACTTCTAACCGGAAAAATCGAACTTGTTGCCATTTGTGAATAATTTAGCTTTGTTGGTTAAAGGAGTTGGAGAAAAAAAAAATCCAATGAAGATTGTTTTTCTTCTTCCTTGTTAATTGTTGATGTATTGTTATAAGACATTCATGCCTTTATATAGTATGATGATTGGAGATATGCAAATTGAATTTTGTGGTGTTTGGAAACTTATGGCCATGGTTTGTAGGGACATTTTTAATTTCATAATTTTTTTTTCTAATATTATTATTATTATTATTAATTTATAAGATGCATTTATTAATATCAGTGGGAAAATAAATAAATAAATAAATAAATGCTGAGATTGAGAGAGCAAAATTTGATTGATTTGTATGGTTGCCTGCCCTACTAGAAAATGACTCATTATCAACTTATTACTTGTTGAGGGACATGTTGTTCCCCCTCTAGCCTAAAAAGATAAGGTATTTTTTTGTCACAAAAGTAGTATAGTTTTATTTTTGGATATTGCAGAAGGTTTTGAATTTTGGTAATTGGCAATATTTGTGACAAATTATTGGGCATCTTTCTACAATTATTAAGGAACTGAAATCACTCATGTGATTGGAGAGTTGCAAACGAGTCTGAGTCGAGTAGTGAATTTGTCGAGCAGATCGAACTTTTTTCTTTACTGTTCAAGCTCGACGACTGATGTAAAATGCTTTCGACTCGACCCGTGAAGAAAATAAGAATGCTCGAGCTCGACTCAATGCTCGATATGACTCGAGTTAAGCTCGAAATATTAAAAAAATAATTTTTTAAATATAAATGTACTATTTTTAATCGAAATGGACAATTTTAGCCTTAGAGTTTTAATATTGATCATTAAACTATTTAGGTTATTTATGTACAAATAAAAAGTTGAGCGGTTGGTCGAGCTTACGAACCTCTTGAAATGATGTTCGTGGCTCGACTCGTTTGCTCGACTCGTTTGCTCGATTGACATTTTAAAATGTCAAATGAATATTTTGAAACTTTTAAAAATCTTAAAAAAAAAAAAAGAAATAATCCACTAATATCTCTATAATTTTAGAAAGTCTTTAAAAATTCCAAACAAACCTACCTCTAAAATCATTTCATTTTATGGCATAAAAAATACATACAGCACAAAAGTTTTCAAGAGGTAGTTTCTAACCACATAACCCCTTGAATGGGCCACAGCCCATGATTTGACAAGGAACTATCAATTGTCGTGCATTTAGGATCACCTTAATCACGTGCACAGAACGATTAATTTCCTTTCCAGACAGGCCCGCCCACTCATCTTTGCCGGCCCTGAAAAGCCCAAGTTCTGATAAGTCATTCCATATTTATCTTCTTCTTTTTTTAAGCAACTTAGAGCATGTTTGTTCGTAGAAATATGTGGTCTTGTTTGGATTTTTTGGTTTAGTTTAGTTAATTTTAAAAATATGGTATAATTAGTTGTTAGTGGATATATTAAAATGATATTTAAAATAAAAAAATTAAAATTAATTTGATGTAAAAATATAAGAGTGATAATTTGAAGTGATGTTAGTTATTGCATGCTAATTACAATTGTTGGATTATTATTGCATGCTAATTACAATTGGCATAATTTAATTTAAAATGCATCTCTAACCATCTTTATTCGGAGATCAAATATTGCTCAATTTGTATCTTTGCTACGCTTTTTCTTTTTTTTCATAATCTTTATAAAAAAATACGACATTCAAAATAAAAACATACATAAATAATTCACAAATAGCTATAAATAAAACAATAATGCAGGAACAAATAACAAAAATAAAACTACGCTTATTTAGTTAACTTATAAGCTTATTGTATTTAAGTAAGTCTAAATGGAAGGACGAGATTTTATAAAAATATAGGTTTATCTAAAAAACTTGCTATCGGTTAGATAGTTCTTAAAAAAAAATCTATTTCAACTAACTCATCAACTAATTTTAACAGATACTTTTAATATATCAATTAGTTTCACAATCATAAGCTACAAGTTTGAAATTCATCTAAAAACTATCAAAACCTTAGGGCGTGTTTGTATATGAAAAATCTCAATTCATACTCAAAATCTAACTCAATTTTGACACAACTCCACAATCTTCAATATTATCAATATAACTAAGTAATATCAACCAATCATTCTTATACATCACATCAACTTTAATTTACTTTTTACCACTTACATAATTTTAACTACTCATCACTTCACATCATATATCTCTTACTTTTACATCAAATCAATTCTACTTATTTTATCTTAAGAACAAAAGAAAGTTGTGTCGAATGAATAAATGGATAGGGGCCCTAGGGCTTCAATTAATTATTAGAAAGAAAAAGCAACCCGCTTCTGTTCTTAATTTGAATAATTTCCCGATCTAATTAGACGTTAAAAAGAGATTAGTGCCTTATATGAGAAGGACGAATTATTTTAAATATAAATACAAAATCTCACTAATAACTAATCATACTACTTTTATTGAAAATTTTACTCTGGTTAACCAAAAAAAACTCATTTTGAGCAGATACATTTATATGCATAGTATACAATATTTAAATAAAAGAAAATCGATAATCGTACATGGAAAAAGAGATTTGTTTGTGAAGGGCATAAAATATTTTACATTTCGTGTTTGTTTATCAATGGGCCTAAACCGTGACCCATTTACCTGACACGAGTGTGGCTTTGACCCAAGATTTAGGTAAAGATGACTCCGACTGAGGGTTGGGCCGTGGAACTAATGGGCCCGGATAGCAATATGGCCTACTCCCACGTGCTAGACTATGGACCATGTTCCGGTAAAGTGAGGCATGGAAAGCTTCCTAACCTTATCACTTTATCTGAAAGTCATTTCTCTAAATAGTAAGGCGCATAAAGATGAGTATTATCAATGTTCTTCGATTTTGCTGTGAAGTCAACACTTGGCTTTATAGTAGAGCCAACCTGTTATATACAACAAATAAACTTATCACATTAATAAAATTATACTAATGTTATTTAAGTAAACATATAATATAGTAAATTTACTTGTTGTATATAGAATGTTGGTTCCACTATTGAACCAACTGTTGGCTTCACAACAAAACCGTAATGTTCTTTATTAAGTACATTTTAGTATTCAAATATCATTGTCAAATACAAGATGGGCTATTTATGGCTGAGATTTGATACAAGATGTTTTACAAAAACAATTGTTTAATCTGGAATATGAGAAGGAAAACTGAAATTTTTTTTTTTGAAAAATTAAGATAGATCCAAGATTATGAATGAATGTGAAATAATTATAGTTGTTAGGAATTTGAATTGGATCAAATAGAATAACTCTTTGTTTATGTGGTAATATATGTATAGTTCATTTAGAAAGAAAACAAGACAAAATGAAGGAAATATTGACTTATTTATCGTTTAGTTAATTGTTGTATATTGGGCTAGGTTTTATCTAGATTTGTTTTCTTATATTGGAAGCACACATGGAAGGATATCGGCATGGATGAAAAGGCGATCGAGAGAGGATTTTGAAGACTAGAGAACGAAGAAAACTTCCTTGGTGAAGATTTTGAAGACTCGCTATCAAAAGAAGATAATATATTAGAAGTATTCGTTTTTGTATAATAGAGAGAGAGAGAGAGAGAGAGAGAGAGAGAGAGAGAGAGAGAGAGAGAGAGATTTAAAGGTAAACATTATGTTTTACTCACGACACTGGGGAGAAGTGGTCGTATGCCTGTTGAGCTAGCGATCCATTCTAAGTTCTTAAGTCGACATGTTGGTAAAAAAAAGTAATTAGAGAAGTCGAATGTAGGGACAATAGGATTAGAACGAAGTTAGTCTAGTAAATATGTATTACTTTACGTGCATGAGGCCATTTGCAGTAAAAGAGTTATGAGAGAAGTGAAATGCTTCCTTAGGAAAATTTCGTTTAATAACTCTTCATTTTATTTCGTGTTGTTGCATAAAAGTCGCACTCGTGCATTCACCCACACTCCAATAATAATAGAAGATGATATGGTATTAAAATAATAAAATAACAATTAATAGTAACTGGTAATTACAAGTATGTGAGTGAATGAATAATAATTTTTCAAAAAATATATAATAATAATTCATTTAACTTTTTAGTTGTATTAGTGGGATAGTTGAAAAAAAAATGAAATAAATAAAAATGATTTTTGTTTTATAAATTTCAATTACATCTTGATGAGATTAATTTTAACTAATAAAAAACCATCCCAACATGAAAAGATGACCCATAAAATGACATTTTTGATTTATCTCGCAACTCCTTCACTTGGAAATTGGAAGTTTTTTCCCAAGGTTTTCTTGAATTGTGTTGAGAAATCTGAGCAGATTGAAAACATGAAAATAAAATGAAATGAAATGAATTTTTATTATTTCACACTCATTCTATTGAGTAACCATTTTGTTATCACTGATTCCAATCCAATACAATGGTAAAATTAAGTTAGTAGTGTAATAAATTTCACCCTCTCTGAGTGGTCCGAGTTCTTTTAAACCGTTGGATCAACACGCCTGAGTGATCGGACGGATAAAAACCCCTCGATTCAGTAGTTGCCATCACCGTTTTCTTCTTAAAGAAAAAGAAAAACCCATTCCAAAGGGTTACCATCATTATAGACAACCAGATTTTCATGCCATATCACAAAAAAAATGCCATAAGAACCATTAATACAAGCACTCTATAAAATGGAGGGAAATGGGTGAAAAAGAATACACACATCTAAGTATTTTTTAACTTTTTTTGCTGCTGTCTACAGTTTTGCAATACCATAAAATTTTAAGGTCATAATATAACAACAAAACCGAATGCTCGCCTTTCAATCTTCACCGAGAGCTTTTTTTATATCACCCTGCAATCGTGAATGAGTCGGGCTAGTCAAAGTTGAATAATAATTACAAAAAACTGTGGAATTTACAGTGCTCGCCTCACAGTTGTAAAATTTTCAAATATGCATATGTATATGGATTAATAAGTTCTTTGCTAAAACACGATATAGTTGCTGGTATTATATATGTAGAGTAACCAAATTGTTAAGAATATTTTTTCAATGTATTTTAGCAGGGTACCTAATTCCTATGTTAAACAAGATGCTCTTTTTTTCCTGGCGAGAGAGAGAGAGAGAGAGACCTCGATTGCCAAGGGTGGGGTAGAAGTCCCATAACGTTTGATCACACGACCATCTTTGTCAACTAGAAATTTGGTGAAGTTCCATTTTATGCGAGACCCGCAAAAACCACCTTTACTTGCCTTAAGGAACTTATACACAGGTGCTGTATTTGGCCCATTCACTCTTATCTGACAGTGGAAAAAATTTAATCGGCAACAAATTTTAACAGTCAAAAGAATCAAATACAAAACACATTTTACAAGAAAGATTCATGGCAAAAAACAAGGATCGACTTCCCAAGGTTTATCACAACGACTGTATAGTTATCACAATGATAGCCAAAAGAAACATATAGATAAACCAGTTGTTCAAAAATCACATACGAATAGTTGCATTTTATTTGGACATTAGTCAAACTAATCATAAACATTAACAAGAAACAAAAGCTTAACATTTCTCAGCCGAGACAAAAAAAAAAAAAATGAAGATCTCAATCAATATCTCTATATACCCCTCAAAGCCTCTAGCCAAAATTTTGACTTCACCATATTTTCAGCAAGTCAAAAAAGTATCATCACAACCAAAATTAATGTATCAGACAACTTAAGATATCTTCAAAAGAACAAAAGTACGACTAATAGAGATAGTATCAGAACTAAAACAACGAAGCCTCATCCATCAACCTCAACATATCCGATCCTAAATACTTATTCACAAGATAAAATTATTCACCTTTTGAAAGATGGGATACTCAGCTTTGAATCTTGTGCAAGCAAATTGTTCTGCTTCTTGGCTTGAGCCTGGCTCTTGATACAAGAACTGATTGCACGGGAAGGCCAATATCTCAAAACCTGAGATATAAAAATCACTTTCAGAGAAAGGCACCTCAGCACAAGCAGGCATGAACTGTAAGAAACTTCATTCCGGGAACGGCTAAAGTCCCCTTGACGGAATGGTTCCGTCACGGTTTGTTATCTTATCGTAGATTATCCATACAATATAACCTACTTTTCTTATCCAATGGTGGAAAACGCTGACGGTACCGTCCCGTAACGGAACCTTAGCATTTTCCCTTCATTTCATACAATAATAAGACAGAAAAACCTCAAATTCACAGATAACTAAATTTCCCTCGAAATCGAAAATCGACTGCAGAAAATAGAATCAAAACACAATACACGCAAATTTAATATCAAAAACGAAGGAGGAAAAACATCATACCTTTATCCTTGTACTTGGAATAAAGCTCAGACATCTGTGTATAATTTGAGTTCGTGAACCCACTGTTAACAGACAATCATCACATAATCAAGTATCAGATAACAAAAAATAAAAAGAAAAAAGGGTTTTGAAGAAGAACAAAAAGGGGGGCCCTCACCATTTGGACGCGACATTAACAACAAGCAAGACCTTGCCTTTATAAACACTCAGATTCACATCATTGCCTTTACTGTCCTGCTCGAAATCATGAAAACGAGAAGAACCCATCAGAGGAATTCACCTAAATCGTGGATAAAAAGTGGATCCACGCACACACAGACAAAAACGACACAGGCCCAACACAAAATCTTGCAGAGAAAAGGGTTAAAAATGAAACCTTGACGTTGAAATCGTGGATCGAATTTTGTGGGGGGACTGAAACTGAAGAGGAAGAAGCACCCATTATTATGCTATCTGTTTTATCTGCTTCTCTACGCTTGACCACCGGATAATCACAGGCCACATAA